TATTCACTTCTTCAAGTCGAGGGACCTGCTGAGATCCCATGGGGTCAGGCTGGTGCTGATTACGTCTGTGAGTCTACCGGTGTCTTCACCACTTCCGAAAAGGCTGGTGGACATCTTGGTGGTGGCTGCAAGAAGGTCGTCATTTCGGCTCCTCCTAAGGACAGTACTCCTATGTTCGTCATGGGAGTCAATAACGAGAAGTATACCTCTGACTTGAAGATCGTCTCCAACGCCTCTTGTACCACCAACTGCCTCGCCCCTCTAGCTAAGATCGTCCACGATAACTTCGGTATCGTCGAGGGCCTCATGACCACCGTCCATGCTACTACCTCCACTCAGCTCACCGTCGATGGCCCTGCTAAGGGTGGCAAGGATTGGAGGGGTGGTCGCTGTGCTAGTCAGAATATCATCCCGTCCTCCACTGGTGCTGCTAAAGCTGTCGGCAAGGTCATTCCTGAGCTCAACGGGAAGCTCACTGGAATGTCCTTCCGTATTCCAACTGCTGATGTCTCTGTGGTGGACCTCACCTGCCGTCTAGCCAAGTCCGCCACCTATGATCAGATTACTGCTGCTGTTGATGCTGCCTCTAAGGGCCCTATGAAGGGGATCATGGGTATCACTCATGATGAGGTCGTGTCGAGCGACTTTACTCATGATAGTCATTCCTCTATATTTGATGTTAAGGCTGGTATCGCACTTAATGATACCTTTGTGAAACTGGTGTCTTGGTATGACAATGAGTGGGGATATTCGAATCGTCTGGTCGATCTTGTCGTGTACATGAGTAAGGTCGACGGCAATTGCTAGGCGGCGCCGATTGCTAGTTATTATTGATATTATGTCGAGAAATGATTTATCTTATTTACTTATTCCGGGCATCCCGTGTCGTAAAAACTGATAGAACTCTAGGTAGATATGTTAGTGTTATAACTTAGTAGAGGTGTTGTGTTGGTAGTAGTGGAGATGATATGCGGCCATTTGTGTAACACTCATTGACATCGTTATTGTTATTGAGAGTAAGGGCGGTACGCTATAGCAACAGGCAAGCTGCTAGAGGAATGAGAAGCTGTACTGTCAAGCTTTAGTCTCTAGGTTGCCTCATAAATTTCGAAAAGTACATGGTATATCGGAGGGTTTTGCGTAGTTGAATGTTGTTGTGCTGATGAGTTGTCAAGTCGTGTTTCATGCGCCCAACATGATGTAAGAAAGGGTAAGTAGTCGCACATCACAATGTAATCCGTAATCTCACGGTGTATTGATTATTGCATTCCAAATCTAGTTCAAGATCACCCAACTTGATGATCGTGTGGGAAACGAGTCGTCAATCGTATCGAGGTCAATGCGTTGAGAAAACATCAACACTCATACGGTCGATGATTGGCATCCACCGATGATGTTCCGGTTGCTGGTCACTAATCCTGTTAATGATCTGACCACGCGTGATG